AAATCTTTTGCTTCCAACTTACAAGATGGGAAAGCGCTCAGTGGAGATTCCACTTCCGTAAGGCAAAGGAACTCTAGTAAAACCTCAGGAAACTCTAAGTTCGGCGCCAGGAGATCCGTTTCGGATACAAGAGATAATAAAAGGGAAGTATCATGTTCTAGTTCAGAAAGAGTCTCTCGTAAGAAACGATCCATAGATGGGAATTATCAATATGAGAAAAACCAGGCAGCTAATAACATGCTGATGGATAAAAATCAGAAACTGATTCAGTCCAATGCTTTAATGGATCAGCAAAATAGATGGGATCAAGATCCCAAAGTTAATGGAACCGATGTTGTTTCTTTTACATTCACTACACCTATGAAAGGACCTGGCTGTGAGAGGAACAGAGAGACTCGGGAACAATATAATGACTTTTCTGAGAATTATCGAACCAAACGGATGCTGTTGAGCTCGGATGGTATGAATAAGTTTTCTTTCCCTGGAAATAATGTGAATGGAGGTGACACATTGAGCACTCTCTTGGAGCAAAAGTTCAAAGAATTGACTTGTGGAGTAGAGTTTTCTGAACACAAAGTAGCGCCAATGGGTAGTTCTGCATCGATTTTTCATGATCCGATCCCTGGTCTGAATTCGTTGAGAACCTCTAAAGTTTTACATGGCAACAGGACCAAAAAGGGGATTCACACAGATAGTGTGATTGGCCTAGGTGGGTCGAGATTTCCTTTAATGAATGAATGTGGCAACAGGACTGAAACCAAAATGTCGCTGGATTGCCGGCTCCCAAGTCCAGTTTCAGTTCTTGATCATTCTTCTGTCACAGAAAGCTTCACTTCTTCGGACACTGTAGAAAGCAGTACAGTAGGTAAGATCTTACACTTTTTCAAGTTTCTTTTTGGCCTAATGTGCTAAACGAAACAAAAAGTAACTCATAAAAGTGCTTACCCTATCTTTTTCTCCATTTAGATTTTTTATCTTACTAGAGTTAGAATCTTAAAATAACTGAATTTTTATTATCAATTCCAGGTGACAAGCAGTATACATCTTTTCAAGCTCAAGAAATGCTTTGTATGTATTCTTTAAAGAAGTTACAATCACTTGAAGGTGATGCTGAGTTATCAGACTCGGCTTCTTCGATTTCTGCTGGAACTCTGGCAAAAAAACACGTGACTACTACTGCATCATTTGCCATTGATTCTGGGAAATCAACAGGATGGGAACTAGAATATGTGAAGGAAATACTATGCAACATTGAACTGATGTTTAAGGATTATGCGTTGGGAAGGGCTCGTGAGGTCATTAACCCTCATCATTTCAATCAATTAGAGAGTCGAAAATTGTGTTTCAACGGTCATGGATTTGAAGCAAAAATAAGCAGAAAGGCTCTGTTTGATTGTGTGACCGAATGCTTGGACTTAAGATTCAGACGTTATATAAGTGGTGGATGTAAAATATGGACAGAAGGTTTCTCAGTCGTTAGAAGAAAGGATAGGTTAGCTGAAGAAGTGTATAATGAAATTTCGAGTTGGAGTTGCATGAAAGATTCTATGGTAGATGAACTTGTTGACAAGGACATGAGTAGCAAACACAAAAGATGGCTCGACTTTGATATTGAAGCATTTGAACTGGGAATTTTGATCGAGGATCGGATTCTGACTTCATTATTAGATGAAGTGGTCGATGATATTTTGGTTTTGTAAGGGCTATCAGCAAAATATTACTTCACTGTTGCAACTTACCTCTTTCTTCTCTTGTGGAAATTCTTTTGGTTTGTTGGGTAGGTGGATTATATCGTGCTCTG